CCTTAATTAAATTCCTCCAGTGCAGAGAAAATCTCACATTCTCACATTCTATGTTTCATGAAATAAGATGGCGTGGATAGAAAAACAGATCATCTAGGTAATCATCTGCGGTGACCACGTGACATTAGAACAGTACCACCATTTTAGTGGGGGTATCAAAAATGATATTTAGTCTTTTTCTGTTTAAATTCTATTATATTATTTTATTTCTATATTATAAATTTTCTAATTTAAATTCTATCTTTTTTATTGTGTTGTATTTCCAAATATATTATTCAAAATAAACTACAATACGTTTGTAATAGATAGTTATTAACACTACCGTTACTGACCCTGTCCCCTGTATGATGGTACGGTCCAAAAAGTGGTCGGTTATTCTACTAACCGACCACTTTTGAGGTTACGGCCTGATAACCAATGGGAAGTGGAGCCTTTCTAATTGGTCGACGTCATCTGGCTACATGATAATTACTGGTAAATGACGGGAAATTGATATTTGTGACGTTATGTTAACGTCATTTGCATACTGTCATTTGAATAATAGTTGAAATGAACTTTGCCAAAGGATAAGATTTTCACACACAAAGTGTATGTAATTTGAGTCGAGATTATGCTAATTATAATAACTTTATTTGCATAATGAATGATACTAAAAAATCATGGAGGTAAGAGATCTCCGAATTCTTGTTACCTTTCGTTATGAAAACGGAGGTTCTGTTTCCGAATACTTTGAAGAGCATAACAAGAAACAATGGATGGGGTGTGATGATATTTGGCAGGCCTTTGGAAGATAACGCTAGAGATTGGTTTTGGGACTCTTGGCTGACCTTGGTACTTCAGGTTTTGGCATTTTTGGTCCTGGACACGTCATGGTCTTGATTTCTTTGTGTCTAAACGAATGTATTGTCTATATAAAGTGTTCACTGTCATTTTCATTGTCATAACTGACTCCTTGCCGCAAGACTGATTGTTGATTCCGTAAATCTAATCAACGAGGCATTTCTCGTTCTCCTTTTGATAGCAGACAACCCTTTTTATAAAGAGGGGAGATTAAAAAAATATAATTAACATTAGAGTGAGTCCAAGGTACTTTTTCCAGATGAAGCCAACCACCTGGACCCTCAAATCCAACTGCTGTTGGAAGTGACCTGGGAGGCGCTGGAGAATGCGGGAATTCCTCCACGATCCATCCGTGGCTCCAACACCGGCGTTTATGTAGGCGTTACGTCAAGCGAATATCTCATGATGACGGTCAGCCCCTTCTCCAACATCAGCCAGTATACCAACTCGGGCACGAACTCATGTATGGTGGCCAACCGTATCTCCTACGAGTTTGACCTCCATGGTCCAAGCTTCTCCGTAGACACCGCCTGCTCCTCATCATTATACTCCATCCATCTTGCCTCTGAAGCCATCAGAAAAGGAGATTGTAGCATGGCCATAGCTGGGGGTGTCAACTTGATGCTGTTACCAGGAACCACCATTGGGTTTTGCCAAGCAGGAATGCTGTCACCAGATGGAAAGTGTAAAAGTTTTGACGCCTCTGCAGACGGATATTGTCGAAGTGAGGGGGCCGGCGTAGTTGTCCTGAAGCCGCTCGACAAAGCCCTGGCGGACGGTGACAGGGTCTATGCTGTCATCAGAGGAGGCAGCCTCACCAATGACGGGAGAACACCAGGCATCGCTAACCCCAGCTACGATGCCCAGCTGGACCTTGTTGAGAAAGCGTGTGCAGCAGCCAAAGTACATCCTCACGAGATCCAGTATGTGGAGGCACATGGAACTGGTACCAAAGTTGGAGACAGAACAGAGGCAAATGCGCTGGGTCAGATTCTTGGCAGGGGACGAACAGAGGAAGATCTACCGCTGTACATTGGCTCGGTTAAGTCCAACTTCGGACACACAGAGGGCGCGGCAGGTGTAGCGGGAATCATCAAGCTTGCACTTATGATCAGCAAGGGTCAAATTCCTAGAGTGGTTCACTTCTCCTCACCAAATCCAGACATATACTTTGATGTGTTAAACATTAAGGTTCCCAGAGCTTTGTTACAATGGGAAGGGGACGGAACAAGGCTTGCAGGTTGCAGCTCCTTTGGCTTTGGCGGAGCTAATGCTCATCTCATCTTGGAGAGGACCCCATCTTCAGTTCCTCCTGCAGCTGTAGCTAACAGTGACAAAGTCTACGAAAAACAGTGCGAAAAGGGAACAGGACATGAGACCATCATGTTGCTGTCTGGAAACACTAAGGCTGCTTTAAAAGAACAAATAGGACTCTGGATCTCCTTCATAACAAACAAAATAGCTTTCAATGAAGACCGCTTCCAACAAAGCCTGTACACTGCTGCAAACCGCTATCAACACCATGCAGAAAGACTAGCAATAGTCGTCAACGGACCGGAAGACGCCGTTAAAAAGCTTAACCTCTTGACGAGAGGAGAAAAGCTGAAGGCAGCTGTGGATGGAAAAGTTCCCGAGGGTGCCGAGCGCGGCAAGATGGCCTTTGTCTTCTCAGGGATGGGAACTCAGTGGTGGGGAATGGCCAGACACCTTGCCCTGGAGGATCCAGTGTTCAGTGACGTGATACAGGTATACAGCCATAGATATCTGATCTTTTTAACACCATTCAGTTGAAACAAAGAGAATTTTGTGTTTCTAACGTTTACAGTTACTGTATTGGAATAATACTGTAATATAGATAACACACATCCATAAGCATTGATGTTCTAATTAGAAATGTTTTGATCGTATTTCCACATCTACATCTACCTCCAGGTTACCTGAAATGTGCAATAGGTTATATTTTCTTCCTTTTCCACAGCGGTTTGAAAATGTGCTGAAGACACTAGGAGCTGACTGGTCCATAGCCGACATGCTGACAAAGGAGACAAATCCAGACAAGATCAACAGGACAGGTAGGACTATATCCAATGTTTTTAGGTCAATGCCAATGGTGCAGCAGAATGTAAAAGGTACACGTTGTGAATGAATGAGCTCGCGAGCGTGTGTGTACACGTGTGTGCATGCATGCGAAGATACACGCGTGCAAGTATTTGTCTTTGTTTAATTTTTGTGTATGTACATGTATGCAGTATGTTTGTACATTTGTGCATGCGCGCGCGATTTAGTCTGTTACAAGAATATTGCCTGATGTCATTCCCGATAAGTTAAACTCATGTCATTTTCTCAAAATTGCAAAAAAAAATTGGAGAATATCAGTCACTCAATATCATTCTAGCAACGTTGCTTTCATGTCCAGATATCGCACAGCCCTGCATCTGCGCAGTACAGATGGGTTTGTTCGAGCTGTTGAAACAGTATGACGTCATACCCGATGCCATCATTGGGCACAGCGTTGGGGAAGTGGCGGCAGCATACGCCGCTGGTCTCCTGGCTTTCGAAGATGCCGTGCGAGTGATCTACCACAGAGGCAAGGAACTCAGCAAGACAAGCGGCCATGGAAAAATGCTAGCCGTACTGCACCCAATTCGGGAAGTGGAAGAGCTCCTGGAAAAAGATGAGAATAAGAACATCATCAATGTAGCTGCAACCAACAGTCCCAACCAGATTGTCCTCTCAGGAGATGTCAACGCTGTTGATAGCTTCAAAGACAAGCTCAAGAGTGCAGAAATCAAATGTGTCCTCCTCAAAGTAAACAATGCGTTTCACAGCTACCAACAAGAACAGGTAAAGAATGGCATTCTTAAACAGCTTCGGATTTTGTCAGCATCCAACAAGACAACAGAACTACAGATCCCCATGATCTCCACGGTCACAAACAAATGGCTGTCAACAGAGATCACTAACACTGCCCACTACTGGTGGACAAATATTAGGCAACAAGTCCGCTTCATGCAGTCAGTACAGGTTCTCCTTCAGGACGGCTACAACAGTTCCGTTGAGGTAGGAGCTCATCCAGCCTTGGGTCCTGCACTGAAGGATATCTTAAGCACCGTTAAGTCACGTACCACAAAGCAACACGTCATACCCACTCTGCTACGACCAAGAGACGTCTCTTCAACGGCCGATGACCGTGAAAATAGCTTGCTTACTACTGCAAGCTTGCATGTAATGGGGTACCCAGTCAACTTCAGCCCTGCCTTTGAAGAAAAGCACAGACGTGTTCACGACATCCCTGCATACCCCTGGCAAAGGGTTCTGTGCAATGCCGGTACTGGATACAGCTCATCACAGTATAGATTTCCTCAGAGGGTCCATCCGTTACTTGGACAAGAGCAGGAAACCCTGGAAGAAACGAACAGCCAAAAGTCGAAGGTTTGGTGTTCTAATCTTTCTGAAGAATCAGTCCCTTGGCTAAAACACCACATCTTAGATGGGAATGTGGTCGTCCCCGCTGCGGCATATGTGGAGACAGCACTGGCGGCAGCCTCTGAAGTCTATGAGGATAAAAATGTGCTGTCGTTGAAAAACCTTCAGTTCAAACGTTTCATGTTTGCCCCCACATCGGAAGCGATAATCAAATCAACGCTTCAACAAAACAGTGCAAAGGAAAAGCAGTTTGGTCTGTACAGCAAAGATGCCTCCGGTTCATGGATCCTCCATGCCACAGCAGAGGTGCACAAGGGAGATCTAACCCAACCAATTGGATCCATCAATCCCCTTGCCAATGTAGCAGAAAGGTGCTCCAAAACTATTTCCAGTGAAGAGATCTATGAAGCTGCAAAGAAGCTGGCTTCCATCTCGGTACTTCGTTCCACTGCGTTACTTCATGCGCAACATCTGAGACCTATGAAGAAGCCCTGGTCACAGCTGAGGCACCAGACGAGATTGCAAGAGAATTTGGACGGTACATCTACCATCCTGCCTTCATGGACACGTTTCTGCACACATTTGCCTGCTTGTCACTCCTAAATGACAAGTACACGGGTAAGACACCGGCAAAGCGAGTCCCATTCTCCATGAAATCACTGCATATGTTCAGCGAAATGCCATCAAAGGTCACTCTCTACTTCAGAATTTCAAAGAGAGGTGGACGAAGAGTGGTGGACATCACAGTGACCGACACCAGCAGCCAGCAAGTCGTTTGCGACGTTAAAGAGCTCATGTTGGGGATATTGATGCAGGTCCATCCTCCGGGACCAGGCTTTGGAATCTTCAATGGGAACCTCTTGTCAAGGATGAAAATAAGGCAGAGCAAGAGCCTGCCACATACAAATATGTGCTGGTCCTTCATGACGATGAAAGCTTTGCCACAACAGTGAGTACAACCCTAAAGACCACTCTGGGTTGTACAGTTGACATAATGAACCAACATGCCCTGTCTGAAAGTGAAGATAACAGTAAGATTCTGATTGACACAACGCAAACCCATGAAGATTTCGATCACATCATTGTTCTGTATGATTCTGCAAAGCAAGAGCAAAATGATGATTCAGGAGGTCGTCACGTTGATCAAGTTGTAAGGTCTTTTAAATGTCTTGTCACATTTAAGCACTTTTCACAACTTGCTCTCCCCCCAACGCTTTGGATATTTACATGTGGATCATCATCGGTCCAGGAGCAGGACATCGTGAGCCCGTTCATGGCAGGTACATCGTCTCTGTGCTTATCCATATCACAAGAATACCCACAGTTCGTGGTTAAGGCAGTTGACCTGGCACTACACCAAAACATTGCCGATGCAGCTGCGCAAGTTTTGTTCGTATTGCAGGCAAATCCTAGGGAGAATGAAATTGCAGTTCGCATGGTTAGCTCCCCGGGCGATAAGCAAGTCAACCTATACGCGCGGAGACTGAGCGCGATGAAACCTGACCAGATTCTCACGAAATGTCCTCCTAGCGAGTCATGGGTATTTGACTCCAAACAAAGGCAAACTGGGAAGAAACTCTACAAATCACAATCCAGCCAAAGCGCACCAAAGAGAAATGAAGCTACAGTTAAGCTTGTGGCCTTTGCTGTGTGCCCCTTTGCAGACATATTGGGAAAGCACGATGGACGCGCCCACGACATCCACCTCATCTGTGGCACTGTACATCACCCACCCACAGAAATGATGGTACAGGAAGGAGCAAGAGTGATGGGAGTCGTCATGGGCTGCATCAGTCCTCAAATGAACATACAGATGAGAAACCTAGTGCCCATACCGGGTACCCTGTCTTGGGGAGATGCAGTTGCAATAGTCAAATACTTCTTGCCAGCATTTCCCTTCTTCCAGAAGATTCAGACAGTATGCAAAGAAGATACAGTGGTTGTTTTCCTGGCTGATGAGGGCAACAAAGAGTCACTGGCGTATGCCTCCCTGGCACTACACCAAAAGGCCAAGGTCTGTGTTGTTGCAGATACAGTTCACAATGCAAACATCGAACATATTGTCTGCACAACAGGATCCCACCCACCTACATCCTCAGCATTGATCACTACGTACGACAAGGTTGACCAAGACATACCAGACAAACATGCAGGTGTGGTGTTCTTACCTAAAGGAGATAAGGCAGGAGATGTCCTCCAACAAGCTACGAGGAAGTTGCGAGCCTATGGAGTTTTAGTCAATTTGGGTGGCTCGACAATCCTGATGGACCAAGTTCCTAAAAGCATCAAATACATCACTGTCGATCCTCTGGATGGTTGCCAAGGAGAATCATCACTTTTTTGTATGGTGGACAACATCCAACAGCTTCTATCAGACAATACACTGTCCTCGCTCACACCATCTCTGAAAACTAACATGGAACTATCCTCTCTGTCCCACATATTGCACCAACAACAGAAAGGATTCCAGATACCCGAAATAGTAACCATCGATGGCAGGGAAGTACAGTTGGGCCTAGACATCAAACAGAACCAGTTTAAAGCTGGCAACAAAGCTACATACGTTGTCACAGGAGGTCTGAAGGGCTTTGGTCTCGTCCTACTGGAATGGCTGGCTAACTCTGGGGCAAGCCATCTGGTTGTCCTCGCAAGAAGTGAACCGAATGAAGAAGCCAGAATAAAGCTGGAAGAACTGTCTACAAGGTGTGTTGATGTCAAGGTGATGAAAGTGGATGTTACCGACAAGAACGCTGTGGAAGAAGCGCTGACTTGGGTGCGTGATACAATGCCACCAATAGAGGGGACCTTTCATTGTGCAGCAGTATATGCAGACAAATTGATTGATCAGACTACACAAGAGGACTGGGAAAGAGTCATGCTTCCAAAGGCTGTTGGTGCCATAATCTTGCACGAGGTCACCAAAAAGCTACACATCAGGCTTAAACACTTTGTCCTCATCTCCTCAGTCGTTGCTCTGTTTGGTAACACAGGACAGGTCGGCTACTGTGCAGCTAACAGCACTCTGATGGCACTGGGGGAAGCGAGACGGCAAGAAGGGCTGCCTGCAACAGTCGCCAGTTTTGGAGTTATCAATACCGTTGGATTTGCTGAGAGATCCGGTCTTGTCAAATTGTGGGAGAGAATGGGTGTACAAAGCATGTCACCACATGACGCATTGGAAATCCTTGGGTGCATGATTGAAAATGAGTATCCCCATTTTGGGATCACCGCCACCTTTGATATTCGAAAATATTGCAGTGCTCATAAGTCGATGGTACTGCAACACCTTCAGGCGGCTGACAACTGCTTTTCTCGATTCACAACATTGGTACCAAATGACGTGTTCAGTGGTTCGGTGTCCCTTTCGGACAAAGTTCTTGCTTCAACTAAAGACAAAGGCCTTCTGATCATACAGGAAGAGCTGATAACCCACTTATGCCAACAGCTTGGTATTGAAGACCCGACTGAAATCACCGTCGATACAAGTCCAGTATCACTCGGGCTGGACTCTCTGTTGTCGGTGGACATGAGTAACGACATAGCAGACAGGTTTGAGGTGACAGTTACATCCGTGGAACTCCTGAGTGACAAAATGACCGTCAAGATGCTCAGTGAATCCATCCATGACAAGATGGTCAACCAAGCTGGTAAACAGGGAACAGGTTCCCTCATCCCAGAGGTATCCGCTGAAGGAAACTCTTGGCTTCATTTCTTTGGTAAACTCCAAGACCCTATTCTTACTCTGGTCTGCTTCCCTGCTAATGGTGGAGGTCCATCCCTCTTTCATCAGTGGGGAGAACATTTTGCCAAAAACAACATCGAGGTTGTAGCCGCCACTCTGCCGGGCTGGGAAAGCAGAGAAAAGGAATCTCCTATCAGTAGTCTACAGCAATTAGTTGAGGTACTTGGGAGTCACATAATGGAGACGCTGATGCATGACAAAAGGATGGCATTTTATGGTCACAGCATGGGAGCACTCATAGCATTTGAGGTCGCACATTTGCTCCACAGTAAAGGCAGTACATGCCCTTCCCATCTATTTGTTGGGGGATGGTATGCTCCATCTCTACCCTATCCACATCCGCTAGAACTGAGGGTATCACCCACCTTGTTTGATCCCTTAACTGGAGCACAACAGATGATGGAAGAGGCTAAAACATTCTCCTTCCTACCAGAATCTGTCGTTAAGAACCCTGTCCACCTGCGACGTCTGTTGCCATGTATCCAGTCAGGGATAACAATCTGCAAGTCTTACATCTACGAGCACAATGAATCACTACCATGCAATGTCATTGCATTCGGCGGCCAGGATGACCCATTTGTCTCCCCAGATCTTCTTGACAACTGGGAGCTTGTTGCATCCGATTCACCAGCCTCAAGACCAGCTTTCAGGAAGTACATTGTGCAGGGTGGGCATTTTTTCATCACAACGTCAAGACAAGAGATTCTCAACAAACTAACGACTGTCCTGCAAGAAGACAATGTAATCATTCAACCATCAGACCAAAATCAAAGATATACATCCAGCGTTGTTCACACAGAAACGAAGCCGTCCTCAGCAATGGTTTCCAGTGCTCTGTCTCCCGTGAAATCTACAACAATCATTCACAAGGCAGCTGCATATTTTCGGTACCAAATAAAACATCCCGAATTCAACGCCAAAAATCTGTACGTCATGTTTCGTACGCAGAACATCCCCGTTGATATCGACAGCTGGCGATCCGTCTTTGCTCAACTGATGGAGCGCCATGAGACACTGAGGTCAACCTATCACGTGTCAAGTGAGGTGCAACACCCAACTGGGGCTGAGGCAAGGTACTACAACAAAATTGAAGGTGCCACAGACATCGAAGTACTGACTGGATATCAACCAAAGGAGGCTGAAGAAGTGGTGTACCAGAGAACCAAAGTGCCATTCCAACTTGACAAGGAGTACCCAACAAGGTGCATTGTTGCTCCCACTGGAAATCGGAGTGCCGTGATCGGACTTGTCGTACATCACATCTCAACAGACACAACTGGCTTCAACATACTGTTCAAGGAATTTGGGGAAATCATGCGGGCACACTTCAAGAAGAAAACACTTCAGAAGCCGATGACAACCCTCACGTACTGTGATTTCATACAGTTCTACTACAACTACCTTCGACAGAACCAGAAGGAGCTACAAGATTTCTGGAGAACAGCCCTGCCTCTTCATGTTCCATCCATCAACCTCCCATTTGCCAAGCCGAGACCGACAATCCTCCATACAGACGTTGGCTCCATACAGGTTGATCTTTCCAAGGAACATGTTCGCAGCCTTATGGAATATGCAAAGACTGTTGGCACCACAGTGTACAGCATCATTGCGACCACCTATCAACTTTTGCTACACATGTACACAAACCACGATGATATTGTGATCGGATGCCCATTCGACATGAGAATGTTAGCTCCGCAGTTCTCCAACGTCCATGGCCTCTTCCAGCACTCTCTGCCATTGTGTACCTCCTTCAAGAATAAGGAACAATCCTACCAGCAAACGGTTCAAATGTCATCCCGCAAGCTGCAAGAATGCAAGAAATACGGGATGTATCCCTTAGAGGAGATCATGAAATTGGTGTCGTATGAGAAACATCCAACGATGGATCCCATCATGCAACATAAAGTTATTCAGAATGACCAAACTGGACTAAACAAAATGTTCAATGGCTCCACCGGCAAAAGGATAACCTTACTAAGAAAGGGCTATCATGGCTCTACCAATGACTTCGTGCTCCACCTGTTCCAAGACACCAACACAAAATCTCTCAGCTGTAGCATCAGATATTCAAAGTCCTTGTTTGATGAAGAGGTAGCACAGTGCGTGGTGGATGACTTTGTCACTTTGCTTTCCACGTGCCTGAAGAACCCAGCATGGAGTATTTCAAAAATCCTCCATGCCTTGGAAATGACAGCCTTAAAGTACAAGCCTGATGAGGTTCATTGCAAGAACAATGATCAGCTCGAAGAACTTGAGACCATTCATGGGTGTTTCCGTCTCCAAGCAACACGGAACCCTGCAGCTCGCGCAGTCTCCTTCAATGGAGCTGATGTCTCGTACCGAACCCTCGATAAACAGTCAGATCATCTAGCCTCCGTACTGAGTGACATGAAGTCATTCCTGAACAGCAAAGATGATTTGGTAGCCATTTACCTGACAGAAAACCAGTACGTGGCACAGGTGCTTCTGGGCACCTGGAAGGCTGGTCTTACCGTGTGTCCCTTGCCTTTGGATTTGACAAAAGACACCGTTTCTGGATTGACTACAACATGCCATATAGTGGCAATTGTCACCGATCAGGTAACTACTGTAGCGAAGCTGTTTCCAACACGGCTGCGTAAGTGCATACTCGACGTTGAGAATATCTGGGATGATGCAAGGGACAACCTTTCAACACCATGGCCACCTTGTCAATTCCAAGTTTCCAAGTATGCCTTTGTGATGACAACTGTCAGCAAACCTGCAAGACTCGTCAGAGGCACCCATGCCGGATTGTTCAACCGACTCAAGACAACATGGCAAGAGTTTCCATACCAGGTCAATGAGAATTGCTGTCTCAAATCTCCTCTTGGTGGCCGAGTAGATGCTCTGCTAGAACTCTTTGCCCCTCTTTTACAGGGAGTACCAGTGGTCATCATCCCAACGGCTCTTCTCTTTTGCCCTGTTGAACTGTTGGAATTTATCTCTAAGTACAAGATAACAAGGCTTCATGGTGTACATAAAAAATTCTGGAACGCTCTACTTCAGGAGCTAAGAAGCACTCCAAGAGGGAATAAATGGAATAAGCTGTCACTCAAGTACATATTCACCGACGCATGCAGCACCAAATCAAGTACATTGAGTGAGATGTCACGGGCATTTCCACGTGCAACTATCGTCAGCACGTACAGCACCCTAGAAGTGTACTCTGGTGGGTTGATCGTCAGTGCAACTGAGTCAACCGTTTTCAACGAGGGCCCGATTACAATGAAACCAATGAACAATACCAAGATCAGCGTGCTTGGAGACGATGACAACGGACAAGGAACGCTCTGTGTTTCTGTCCCTGAACTGTCAGACAATCTGCAGGAACTCTCAACATTGATCATCGTCAAAGATGGCATCCCCTACTACATAACTGAAATGCAAGTGTCTTTGACACGATCAGGAATGATTACACTAGTGAAAGAATGTGAAAATGGCGACAGTAAGGAGGGCTCAGCAACATCAGACAGCCTTGACTCCCCCAAGCAACTGACCCAAAACTCCAGTCCAGATGAGCCACGAGCACTTAACTATGGCGTCCTGCAGATGCTCCGGAAAGGTACTTTCTTTCTATGCCAAAAACAAGTTGATTGAATGATGTACGAAACTAATATCATGATGATGATGATGATTATACATTAAGTGTACATTAGGGATTTGTTACCTATTTTTAAACGTATTTTTTTACCTAGTGGTAGGACAATAAGTGAAACAATGCTAATCAAATTACACCCCATTATTGAAAAAACCAAAAAAAGTATGTTATCCACAATGATCATCGATCAGTAACGAAAATGTCTACATTAACAACACTAGCACCAGTTCATTTCTATCTGATAAAATATGGAAAGAACATGATGCCAAGATCATAATTGTTACGTTATCCCCTGGGTCGTAGGTACTATGGTGAAGAAGATGACCTCCACAGGATGGGCCCACAAGAAGCATCTCCAGTTGGTGGTGGAGAATGACTCGACGGCAAACCTTCTGTGGGGCTCGAACAACAAAACCAGACAGCTTTCAGTCTCAAGCATCTCCGATATCCAGAGTTCCGCAGTTGGAGGTAGGAAATCATTGCATACCTCTCAAGTATAGCATAGCATCGCATACATACGTTTACTCTCCTGATTCTGATATTGGAACCTGATAACGAAACATCTTTTTTGACTGAACTTGGCTGCATGTCAGATGATAGCTATACTAACTTGCTTGCATTCATATCACGTATAAATGGGAGCCTTTTATGTTTATTAGCTACATTGTAAAACTAGAGAACCATTCTTGTCCATGTTGGCCCAGCAACTAGTACAGTACTAAATGTAAAAGGATCTTCCTGACATTCGATTTCTGTCCAAGTAATACCACATTTCTCACCATCAACAGGAAAACCCAGTCTCCATTTAATAACTGAGAAACGTGACTTCACATTCATCTTCAACTCCAAGGAGGGCATGGAGAGCTGGAGGCAGACCTTGTGGACTCTCGTTAACACAGCGTTAGATGAAGATTCAGAGAGCGAAGACACATACCTTTAATGGTTATACCAATATTGTATTGTTCACACTTGGCAGAAACAATGTTGTAGTCAGCAATGTTGTAGCGTGCATGCATTTCGTGGCATATACTAGCACTAGCAACACTTTAATGGAATTTAATGCTTTATCTAGGTAATAGGATATATAATGTTAGTAATAAGATTGCTCCTGACCAACAGAACATAATCAACGTGGTCTATACTATGTTTATCTTTGCCTCCGTGAAGAGAGGTATTGTTTTCGGTGTCACTGTTTGTTTGTTATTTGTTTTTAACATTTTAAACTGGAAATTCTTTTGGATAATGTACTCAAGGTACTGATATTAATGCATACATCATGGCATATGGTATATAACCTATAATAATCAGTATCCTAGCAACCGATTACTGTTTCACATTTAACATGAAAGAATTACTGAAAGGAAATACCAAAGGTGTACAATATTACGATTTTGTGTTAAGAACTACATATGTATCCTTGACTTTATATGGGTTTATAAGGTACTACATGTAGTATGTGTGTCCATGTTTTAGATATTTATAATGGTATCGAACTGTGCTGAAGCCACCTTCGTGTGGCTTTGCTATTCTCTTGAGCACCACATTTATCTGAAAGGTATGAGAAACATTTACAAGATTTTAATCCTTGGTGTATACGATATCAAAGATAAGAAAATCAACATGTAGAGCCAGCACAGCCTACGAAGTGTATCTTGTACATGTCCACTAATATTTCAAAATCGCTATACTATACATATCTTGTACTGGGATAAAGCGTGTGCCGTTATTAAGCAAGGACGATACTTCAAGTGAACGTGAACATGTAAGAACGTGCTATCTCCAAACAATGGTGCATATGTCTTACTGGAAATTTTCAGCTCAAACTTTCTTTTGAAATACTAGTAGTTTTTCAAGAAATGTATTTACCCGTAGCATGTCATATTATATAATCGTATTCGTATAGGAAATTGTGTAATGTTACATTCAATCTACATTTTCTTGTATACTACAGTATACAACGTTTTTTTCTTTTACAATTATATCTACGTTTCCGCCCTCATAAAAATATCTTAATCAAGCCACATTTCAGTATAGTCATTGTGAACAGTCGTATTTTTACATTTGAGTTACATTAACTGGCAAATTTGTTGAAGCCTACTTTTTTCTAGAATATCATGCATGTAGCCATTTTCCCTTATCTGCCCAATGTACTATCATGAGACTATTTGTATGAAATGGTGATGGGATTAATATGTTTTTCTTTCAATAAATGAGTACGTACTATTCGCAAAATACGAGGCTTGGTTTTTATTACCTATTAGATTTATAGTCAGCTTTGTAATGCCTTTTAATATAATTTTCCTGAAATGTTTTCTAAATTTGCTCGATTTGTTACCAGATTACTCGTTTTTTTCTGAACCCCCCAATTCCTTCACCTCCTGTCATGTTGCCTGTCAATCCTCCCCACCCAAAGTTCAGCCACCCAAAACAATGCTACCAGAAAGTAATTATCCATTTCAGCAATATAACTTATAATATGATATGATATAATATAATAATGTATAAAGCATATGAAATCAGCTGTAGTTCTCCTGTACTTAACGATACTGCATGTTGGTAATTACGTCACTAACGCAGGTCAGGCAGTTCCCCTGACCCAAGCAATATCAACATTTATTAATGGACGGTACGACTTCCATTCTAATGCCATTTATCAAAATTGCATTAAATTACTTGCCATGTAGCGACGTTATTAATGACGTTATGAAACGATAGGCAAATGAATGTTGAACCCGTACAAGGGGCGACATGATATCATACATAGGTGGCGTACATTTGCCGCGACGCGCGCTCCTCATGCCATGACATGAGTAAATTTGAGCCAGTAACTGTCGCCGAACCTTTACGGAAGTGTGCCTGGTACCGAGGACTGTGAGCGGCAGCTGGAATTACACAACAGACAACCTGGTTCAGGTAAGAAAACCTTTCGTCCTGACAGTATATCCTGAATCAGTTGCTTTGGTGCACAGTCTTTCCATGTCAAGCTTTCAGAAAAAAAAAAAACTCATGACCTTGTCGATAGCGATCCATCTATGAAGCTCTTTGACGTCATACAGAGGAGTGAGTATGATCTGTGCCTGTATAACCGGTATATCCGTCCCTTGGCGTACACACAGAGGGGCTGTAAACAACATAGTTTTCTATAGCCTCTACCAGGCTTGAGGAAGCGGCTGGAAAAAGTAGAAATCGGCCAAAATAGAGAGATAAGCATGCCAGGGGAGTTTGG